GCACAAATATCTAAGACCCGTGACGCCTGTTATCAATACAGACCTGACGAAGAAACGAACAGCTAGGAGATGACCATCATGAAGGCCTGCATGGACTTCCTGCCCACTGAGCACCAGCACTCGGCACACCTCAGCTCTGTGTGTCACCTCTGACAGCCCCGGGCAGTGGTGCCATTTGTCCCTCGTGTCAGAAGGACCTGAGGTATCAGAATGGTTTGTCTCTTACCAGGGTTCACAGAGAGTACAGGGCAAAGCCAGTGCCCCGGGTGCCTTCTGACTCGGAGGCTCTTCCTTTACCCACTCTGCCACCCCTTGGGGGCAACCACAGATTTGTTCAGAGGAGAGGCTCGCTGGAGACTACTGAGTGGGAGAAACTCCCCACCTGTGAGGCCCGGAAGTCCTGCTTCCCAGACTTACTCACAGTCACCCTGGGCCATGTGGCCCGACCTTTTCCCAGATGTCATACATCTAGATTTGTGTCCAGGAAATTTCGAAAATGCAAAATAGCAACTAATGTAAATGCTTAAAAATGCTTGCAGGCCACTGTGGCTTGGGGCCACTGGTTTGCAACTGCTGCTGTTCTGCCGGGATTAAGGATTAATTGCTAGACAGATATACATTGCCCAACATCCAATGATGAAAAGTTGGATGCTAGGGTCAGCAGGCAGCATGGTGGTTAAGGCATGGGACTACCACATGACTGACTATGCTTTGAGTCCCGGACCCAGTGGCTTGAAACTCACATGCCGAGTGCGTGTGCGCGCATGCCCAAGATCCCGAAAGGAGAATGGAGGAGAAGGGATTGCAGTGTGGCCACTGCCCCTGGAGCGTGATTTCTCACTTTCCCTCTCTGTATCTGCCTGTCTTTCTTTCTCTGGTGAGCCCATGTGTCTATGGCAAAACCTAAAAAAGAGAAACAGTTGGATACTTTAACAATGAGGGATTGAAGCAAAGTCTAATGTCTCCGGTTCTCAACTCTATTTGTACATTAGTATCATCTGGGGAATTTTGAATAAATACAAGTTTACAATCCCCAATCTGTTATTCTGGAATTCAGAAAGTTCTGAAAATCCAAATCCTTTCTGACTAAGTTGGTAGCAGTACTGGATGAGACAGGAAGTTATTTACAGCCTAACCTGCTCACAGGGCGTGAACACAATTTGTGCCCAGCGAATTCACGCTGCAGGCAACGTGTTGCAATGTGGGATTGTTGGGTCACAGGTGTGGCCTCCGACAAGGGCAGGCATGTTCTATAATACAATCTAAACCTCCAGAATCCAAGGCAGAATCTGACCCTGAGGTTTTCAGACAAGCCCCATCCTTGGGGAGTCTTAGCCAATCAGTCTGGATATCCTTAGGGTGGGACTGGGGCACTGGTAATGTTTCAGTAGCTCCCCCAGGAGACCCATAGGGCAGCCAGTTTGAGAGCGGGCAGGTAGCGGCTCTTGGCCCACCCTGGGTAGGTCCTTGGCCCACCCTGACACCATAGGCTATGGCAACAAACTGAACTGCAGCGCATGAAGCCATGTGGCTAATTGTGGGTTCAAATCCTTGGGTTGACCTGAAGTTTTCCTTAGTAAATTATGGGTACCAGGAAGAGAAAGGTTACCACCTTTCCTATCAGAGACTTTTCCCTGTGTAACAGACAACCTGGAGTCACTATACGTTTCTTCCCCTAATCCTCCCCAAACCTGTCCCCTCAATCCTGCAGAAGCCCTATGCCCCTCTTCCTTCCTGGAGCTCAGGATGCTACCAATTTATAAACTTTAATCGAATCCTCTGGTCATTCTTTTTTTTTTTTAAAGAGATTTTTGCTATGGGGCTCATGTGCTTGCTGAAGAGACACAGAGACGGAATGCGAGAACTCACCCCCGGGGGGATGGCCATACCGCAGTCCCTTCTCCTCCATTCTCCTCTTGGAATTTTGGTCATGCACGCACACGCACCTGACATGAGTTTTAAGCCTCTGGGTCTGGGATTAGAACCACAGTTGACTATTTGGGAGTCCAGCGATTTAACCACTATGCCACCTGCTGGGATCTGGTTATTCTTTAAATCTCATGTTTCTGTGGGACTCCTGTGCATACGCTTGTAATTTTTTTTTTTTTAGAGGTTTTTGCGATAGGGCACGTACGCTCGCCAGACAGACAGAGAGAGACAGAGAGATAGAAAGGGAGAAATCACCCTCCAGGGGGGATGGCCACGCCGCAATCCCTTCTCCTCCATTCTCCTCTTGGGATCTTGGGCACACACGCACACGTGCCCAGCGTGAGTTTTAAGCCACCAGGTCCGGGACATGAACTACGGTCGACTACATGGGAGTCCAGCGACATAACCATGATGCTAACTGCTGGTCCCCATACGCTGGTAATTAACATGTTTTTTTTTCTTTTTCTGCTGTTAACCCACCTTAAGTCAATGTAATTCATAGGTCAGCCCAAGAACCTAGAGGGTGAAGGGAAACACATGCCCCCCCCACCTGTAACCAAGCACAATGCATTGCAATGGCTGTAGGTGATGCTGTGTACCTGTGTGATGTGGACCTTCCTGGTGGACATAGGGCTTGAGGTGGTGTCTGAGGTCTCAGTGACGTTGATGCAGGTGGTGAGACCTGAGCCCTGCGCGAGAGCCACAAGGGCAGGCAGGAGGCCGCTGAGTCCTTCACCCACAAAAAAGGTGGTGAGATAGTGTGTAGGCAGCCGGCTCATGAAGGGCAGGAAGGTGACGGAGGAGGTGCAGTCCACCAGGGCCAGGAAGAAGGTGAGGACCATGAAGGCAATGCTGTGGTGGCCACCCAGCACCCAGGAGGTCATGTTCCAGAGGAAGGCAAAGAGGGTGCAGGCAATGGTGCCCACACCCAGCACTGTGAAGATGATGGGCACCTCGGAGAGGCAGCCAGGCCGGAAGTGGTGGAGCAGGGTGACCAGCAGGGGGCCGACGTTGGCTAGCTGGATGATCACGGTGAGGTAGGAGGGCAGGTACCAACCCTCAGGCAGCTCTGTCACCAGCAGGGGCAGCTCTACCCAGAGTCCATTGATGGCCACCCAGGAGCCCATCCCAAAGGTGCAGACCAGCAGGTGTATCAGGAAGGTCATGGCGGTGACTGCCTGGGGCCAGAGCGAGAAAGATACCAGGTGAGTTACTTCAGGTTTGAGGTTTTCTCTTATCCTTCCCTTCCTCATAAACAAGTTGATTTAAAAAAAAATATATTTTAATTTAACTTATTTATTATTGTTATTATTTTTACATTTGCTAGAGAGCACGCACATTCACTAGAGAGAGGAAGAGAGAGAGAGTGAGAAAGCAAGCCGCCAGGTCTGAGACTCGAACTACAGTCGGCCATATCAGAGTCCAACACCTCAACCACCTCTGGCCCCATGAACGGACTTCTTGATAGCGGAAAACACAGAAACATTACTTTATAATCATCATCATTTTTGGAGAGATTTTTGCTGTAGGGTATGTGTGCTTGCCGGAGAGACAGAGAGATAGAAAGTGAGAAAACACCCCTGGGAGAATGGCCTCGTTGCTATCCTCCTCCATTCTCCTCTCAGGATTTTAGGCACACACATGCAACCAGCTTGAGTTTCAAGCCCCCAGGTCTGGTACTTGAACTGTGGTTGACCATGTGGGAGTCCAGCGTCTTAACCACCATACCTCGTGCTAGCCCCACAAGGTGACTAATTAGCAGAAAACACAAATACATTACTTTATAATTAACCTGCGAGTAGATAAGGTTTTCCTAGCCATGACTCAAATTCAAAAGTTTGATATATTCAGGGGCCAACAGGTAGCATGGTGGTTAAGGGTGCTGGACTCCCCTGTGGCAAACCTCAGTTCAAATCCCAGACCTGGTGGCTTGCTTTCTCACTTTCCCTTTTCCTTTCTCTCACTCTGTCCTTCTCTGGTCAAATTAAAATCAATCAATCAATAAAGTTATATAAAATAATAATTTTTCAAACAAAAATAATTATTTATTTAATTTTATTTATTCATTCACTTATTTTTAATTGAACCAGAGAGAAAAAGAGAGAGAGAGAGACAGTGAGAAAGCAAGCCACCAGATCCAGGACTTGAACCATAGTCGGCCATGTGGGAGTGTTCAGCACCTTAACCACCATGCCACCTGCTGGTCCCAGTAAAATAACTCTTCAAAAGTTTGATATATTCAACTCCATGAATGTTATTAGAACACAAAGCAACAAGAAAAACAAATAAAGCACTTTCTACAGAAAATATGAACAGCAAAGTCAAAAGACAACTGACAACCTGGGAGAAATATTTGCAACATAAATCACAAAGGGCTCTTACTCCATAAAGAGTTTGCAGAAATCAAGAACAAGGGCTGGCAGGCGGCGTGGTAGTTGAGGCACTAGACTCCCACATGGCTGACCATGGTTCAGGTCCCAGACCCAGCACCCTGGAAATCACAACAAATAGATACATAAAGGAAGAAACATTTGAAAAAAGAAAGTAATTAAGAACAAAAAGTCCTGGGGCTGGTAGGTGGCATGGTGGTTTAGGGCACTGGACTCCCACATGGCCAACCACAGTTTGAGTGCCAGACCTGGCCGCTAGCTTTTTCACTTTCCCTCTCTGGTCAAATTAAAATAAACAAATAAATAAGGTTAAATAAAATAATTCTTAAAAAAAAAAAAAGAACAGAAAGACCCAATAAAGAAATGAGCCACGGATATGAACGGTTTGGTACAATAGAACAAAAGTAACAATAATCTTTAAAAATATCACCTTTATTCACAATGGGGAAGCAACTCTAAGGTGATATTTGTCACCCTGAGTTTATCCCAAAGCCAAAGATTGTCTGTCTTGTACAAAATGATTGACATTATTATTATTATTCACTGTGGCTTCATTGGTTAAAAAAAATATGAGAAACAACCCATGTGCCCACCAACAGAGGAACTTGCAAAAGGGAACACACTGCTCGCTGGAATGTCACTCATCTATTTAAGATAAAGGGGTGGGGCCAGCAGGTGGCTGGTGGTTAAGGGCACTGGCCTTCTGCATGGCCAAATGTGGTTTCAGTCCTGGACCTGACGGCTTGCTTTCTCGCTTTCCCTCTCTTTCTCACTATGTCCTTCTCTGGTCAAATAAAATAAATAAATAAATAAATGAAAAGTTAAATAAAATAATTCTTTTTTTTTTTCCTTTTTTTTGGGAGCGGTTTTTGCTATAGGGCGCGTGCGCTCGCCAGAAAGACAGAGACAGAGAGACAGAAAGCAAGAAATCACCCCTCAGGGAGAATGGCCAAGCCGAATCCCTTCTCCTCCATTCTCCTCTCGGGATCTTGGGCACGCACGCATGCACACTCAGCATGAGTTTAAGCCACCAGGTCCGGGCCGGGACCCGCAGTCGGCTACATGGGAGTCCAGTGACATAGCCATTATGCTAACTGCTGGTCCCAATAAAATAATTCTTAACAAAAATTAAAAGGAGGGGCTGGTTGGTGGTGTGGCGATTAAGGTGGTTGACTCCCACATGGCCAACCATGGTTTGAGTTCCAGGTCTGGCAGCTTGCTTTCTTGCCTTTTTTTCAGGGGGTGGGGGGGGGTTTTTGCGGGGGGGGGGGGGGGACAGCCAGTGGTGTGGTGGTTGGGGCACTGGACTCCCACATGGCTGACTGGTTCGAGTCCTGAACCTGGCGGCTTGCTTTCTGGCTTTCCCTTTCTCTCTCTCTCTGGTCAAATTAAAAAAAAAATAGAATAAAATAAATAATTCTAAAAATAGTAAAGTAAAAATTAAATAATTATTTTAAAAAATAAAATAAAAAAGAAATGTGGAAAGTGGAAGACCTAGCTGGCTGACAGGGAAATGTCTGCAGGCTATGGTGATGAGTGAACCAAATCAAGGCAGATAAATTTTTGGACATAGGGGAGGAGGAGGAAGAATATATCTTTTGGCTTGTATTTGCCTTCAGCAACTTCTGATGCACAAAACCTGCTAGAATGTTGGTACACCCTTATTACATATTTTTGAAAATGTATTTATTTTTATTGAAAAAGAAAGAGAGACAGACAGATACCCTGGACAGGGTCTTGTCACACAGCGACCCAGTCAGTAGGATTGAGC